ATATATATATATATATATTTTAATCTAAATCTAAAACTTACTACTATATAGTAGAGCAGAACAATATATTCGGTGAGAAAAAAGAATTTCAAAAGTGGTATGTACCAAAAAGGAAAATATATATCGAGACATTAAAAGTGGTTGTTTGGTCTAAAATAATTTATCGTGGAAAAACTGATAAAAGTCCAATCTCTGAATCTTTCTCTGTATGCTTACCCTTTACGACTTTTTGGTGCCCATAAATTGAAGTTGCTCGTTCCCTTCTCCATCACTTGTAGTTACGGGACAAAACTACGTAGCAGTCTTTAAGAAAGCAAGAGACACCCTTTTCCTTCCACCTCTTAGTTTTATCCCAAGGCTATGTCAGTGATGGCCGATAATTCAACAAACAATGGAAGCCACCAGGTGGTTTTGAATGTGAACAGTGATGCCTCCAAAAAGTGCGACTCAGATAACCAAGACTGTGTTCCTCTTTTGCAGAAGGTCTTTTTTCTAATCTTTTTTTTTTTTTCTAAGTGCTACCTCCTGTTAGGACTTGGTTTTTTGTCACACTAATACTTGCGTTTCAGTGATCCATAAATTATTTTGTTGATTAGTATCATAGATCCCACCTCGACCGTCAGACTAAAATAAAATATAGAAGTAGAGAAACATGAACTTACAATTTAGTTTTGTAGAATTTTATAAAACTGAGACTCAAATGCACAATTTTATGTGGTAAAGTTGCATTTTTATGAATTAGTGGACTTTAGGAATAATTATGTTGAGGTGGAAATTAAAATGGTTTGGTTGTGTGTGTTGAATACAGTTGGTAGCAGAGGTGGTGGGGACATACTTCTTGATATTTGCAGGGTGTGGTTCAGTGGTGGTGAACCTTGACAAGGAGAAGGTGATCACACAACCTGGGATTTCAATTGTTTGGGGACTCACTGTTATGGTTTTGGTTTACTCTGTTGGTCACATCTCTGGTGCTCATTTCAACCCTGCTGTCACCATTGCTCATGCTTCCACCAAAAGGTTTCCACTCAAGCAGGTGAGTGTTACTGAACCAGTTACATCCTCTTTCACTTTCATTAGTTGTCTCAGATTACCTTAATTTATTGAAAATTTTCTTTTTGTTATATATATGTTGTAGGTACCAGCTTATGTGATAGCTCAGGTTGTTGGATCCACACTTGCTAGTGGAACTCTCAGACTTATATTCAATGGCAGGAATGACCATTTTGTAGGAACACTCCCAGCTGGTTCTAACTTGCAATCTTTTGTGGTCGAATTCATAATCACTTTTTATCTCATGTTCGTCATTTCTGGAGTTGCCACCGATAACAGAGCGGTAATGTTTCTTGTTCTTGTTCAGAAGAAAAAGAAAAAAAAAAATCTTGCTTGTTTGGTGATGATCGTGTCTTGATTTCTGTTGAACATTTTCAGTTTAGCAAAAAGACGGCATTTGCATATCTTTTTGCAAACTCTTTGGCTTTTTAACATAAAAAATGGTTACGTAGTTTGACTATATGCATAAAACATGTATATATCGTTTCTATTCACATGGAATGGATGCAGGAAGTTTGATTCATATCAGCAGACATATGCAACGCGTTTAAAAATCTATACTTGAATATTCTTCCACACTATTTCATATCTTTTGTTTATTCAAATTCATTTTATTTTAAAATCATGCAGATTGGTGAGTTGGCAGGGCTTGCAGTTGGGTCTACAGTTCTGCTAAATGTGATGTTTACCGGGTATTAATCTATTTCCAAATCCAATTGATTATGAAAAATTTTGGTCTAGTTTGGATATAAGATTGAAGGGTTTTCTTAGAACTTGTCTACTAAATTTAAGCAGAGAAATTCACAAAAAAAATACTTTTAAATTTATATAGAAATAGGTTCTATAGCATTTAACATAAAATATATTAATTATATTGTTCTATAAATTAAAACTATGCAGTCTCACCCTTTGGGAAATAAATTTGAATGAGAGTAAATTTTTGACAGGCCAATCTCAGGAGCATCAATGAATCCAGCAAGAAGCTTAGGGCCTGCAATTGTGCACAATGAGTACAAGGGAATATGGATATATTTGGTGTCACCAACTCTTGGAGCTGTGGCGGGTACATGGGTCTACAATTTCATCAGATACACAAACAAGCCAGTGCGTGAGATTACCAAGAGTGCCTCTTTCCTCAAAGGTGGTGCAGCTGAGTGATTCATCACCAAAATGCAATAATGTTTTTTTGCTTTTTCTTATCTTTAAGTTATTAGGGTTTAAATGTAAGGAAGTGCCACTAGTTTAGAGTGGCATATAACTTAGTAATACAGTTAGAGTAAATGAAAAATGCAAATTATCCATGTCCATGCATCAATCCTGGTGTATGTTTGGATTCAACATGCAAAAAGAATCTTGATATGTATTTTTGGATAATGCTCTTCCTATATTAAAATTTTAAAAGCTTACAATTATTAACGCCCAGAAGTAGGTAGAGAAAAATCGTGAGCTACGATTAGTGAGAGATAAGGAAAAAAATTATAGAAGTACTGTAAAAATTTATTATAAACATGGCATTAATTACTGTGTTTGTTAATAATAGCCGGGTGTTATAAGCAAATTTGAATTCGCCGCCTTATGAAACCACACGACTGAAATTTCTTTACATTAAATATTGCCGAATTAGGAAAGCTGGGACTTAATTGATTTATATATTTATTAAATAAAGTTAGGGTTGGTCTGTTTCGAGGTTAAGTAAGATTAAAATTAATTTTAAAATGTTAATATAATTTCGGTCATAAATTAAAATCGATACTTTTGTTTTTATTTGAAAATTGTTTGTTTCTATTTGTCAAAATCAATCCGGAACTTAATCGTATAACATTAGATTTTTTTTAATTGATATTTTGTAGTATTTGATGATGTGAAAACTTGTTATAGTGTATTATCTCTTTAAGTATAATTAAATATGAATAATTATCTTACGTAACAATGATTTTAGAGACTATATTTTAACGAGAGTATTTGTAAATTTTTTTTAATCTTTTTATATAATTTAATTTTTTATTTGTTATATTTATTTATAAATTAAATTAATATTTAAAAATTATATATTAAATATAATTCAATTTTTTATTTATCATAATTTTAAAGACTATTTTTTGATGTGAACGTTTTCAATTTTTTTTTAATTTATATAATTTAATTTATGTATGAATTAATTTTCAATATTTTAAAATACATCATCAACAATTAAAAATAATCTTGAGCTTTTATATAAATTATTTATATTAAGTATAAAAATATAATTTATATTTAAAATATTTAT